TCTCTCTCTCTCTCTCTCTCTCTCTCTCTCTCTCTCTCTCTCTTTCTCTTTCTCTTTCTCTTTGCAAACCTTCGCTACGCGAGTTCTTTAAGTTTACTCTTCGAGATCGCATCCTCTTCTCCCACTTATTTCTCCGCTCGTCGAACTTTGTTATGTACACGGATGAGTAAATACGGGTTATTATCGAGCCCGGCCGTGATTAGATACCAGTCTCTGTTGGAGAATAATTAAATTGAATGGTAAACGGTGGCGATAAAACGGCGGTAAAAGGAGAATCAATTTCGAAGAATCGAGCGGCCGCCGTGCTTTACAACGGCAAGAGTCGAGTCAAGGGTCGTTCGGAGCTCGTGAAAATTCCCGATAAAAATTCTTGGACGGTCGTCGACGCGCTGTTTATTCCGTATCGATAAGGGGTTTCGCCCATTCATTCGCCGAGGAATTCTTCTTCCAACCGATAACCATCTTCCGTTTTACCAATTCGAAACTAGACACGCTCGCTCCCATCGATTTCCCTGCCAATTTGCGGAGAGACTTCTCCGACGACGATTTATCGAAATACTCGATTCCTGAAATTGCGGCGATTGATTTACACGCGAGCCGGAACGAGCGGCCGATTTAATGGAAAATTCTTTCGCATCAATCGAAACCCTGGCGAGATCGTGAACGGAGATCAAGCTGGTTTATATGCATACCGGCCGGGTGTAGGAACGAGCACGGTCGTTAACTGCATTATCGCGCATTGTCTTCGCGCCGCTATAAAATATTAGGCGCGTGTATCTCCCTTATAAAAAGATCACGGTGTCTCGACGTGACTTTTAGGAAAACAACGCTAACGATCACATCGTACGCGCTTTCGATTTGTTCGCGTTTCATGGTTGAAATGGAACGCGGTATCGGCCGCCCATTTTCCGAACCGGAAACGCGCGCAAGCGTCCATTTTGGAATTCGTTTCGCAAATGTTGCGAACAATTTGCACCGGAACGAATATATTTTAACCCCTTTCTCTTTGAACGTTAACAACCGTATTCTGGCTGCATCTCCTGTTATTAAATATCGGAGCCAGGCATCGTTCGGACCGCCGGGACCACCCAAATAATCCTAGTCCCGGTGGTCCTCCTTTAAACCTCTTCGAAACCCCGTTATTTGCATCATGGAAATTTGGCTCGCGTAAAATCTTCCGTAAAAAAAAAAAAACCAAAAAGAAAACGTCCGCTTCCTAATCTAAATCGTCCGTCCTAATTTTTCATCCTACGCTATTGAATTATTCTTAATGCAAAATTCTCTCTCTCTCTCGATTTATATTCGAAGATGACGTCAAGTGGATGATCAAAATTGAAAGCGGCAGCTCGAACGAAGGTTAGTCGAGTTTTTCGAAGCCAAAGAGGGGAGAAGGGAGGGGAGAGGGAGAAAGGCGAGAGGGAAATGACGTTACTCGCTCTTACGTCTCTTTTTTTATCGATATTTTTAAGGATGCGAGGTATTACCCACCGAAAGATATATAAAGAGAATTACAATAACGAAAAGAGAGAGAGAAAGAGGGGGAAGAGGGAGGAGAAAAATGCAGAAAGGTAGGAAAGCGAATGGATGCAAAGGGGAAGGGATGGATACGTGTGATTCCCATACGAATGGCAGGTTGATCGTTCCGAGAAAGGGATCGCCTGGCTGCCAGGCTGTCTACCACGGCGACTCGCTACCATTGAACATGGGAGGCCATATACCGACCATGATCGTCATTGATAATGCATTGTCGTAAGTTCTGCGAATGGATTCGCGCCCACCAGGCTAATCGATATGAATGACGATCGGCCGGGACACCGGTGGGCACTTTAATCGTCGAATCATACTCTCGCACCTGTTGAATCACCGTGCGAATCACCAATAACCGGATTGATCGATCGTGGAAAACCTATATTTTATAATCGCGTTCTTCTTTTTTTTTAACTCTTTATCGCGACTAGAATCGACTAGGTTGGCCGTGGTACAATCGCAATTGTCTTATCGTGGCCGGGACGAGTGAT